CACACACACACACACACACACACACACACACACACACACACACACACCATCCCCCCTTAACCCGATATCATTTCTGTAGAGGCCAAAGCACAGGCCCCTGCTGCCTTGGCGCATGCGCGTGTTTGCTCAGTGGCGTGTGCTGCCCTGCGTGGACGGGAAGCATCGGCGCCTGATTAGCATACAGCTGCAGTCTGCTTTAATGCAGCCTGGACCACATCCTCCTATAGGATTCCTCCCCTTTTCTTCTCGGTCTTTGCTGCCACAGGGATGAAGCAGGACACACAGCTAAAAAAAAAAAGAGAAAGTTTTAAATAAAACATGTTTTAGTGTTTTCCTCTAATGTGAAGTCCCTGTTTTTAACAACAACCCCCTCCCACAAACACCTACCCAATAAAAGGATGATCCCGTGGGTTTGATATTTCAGGCTTTTTTGCACCACCTACAGGAGGACGAGTCCAAACTGAGGCCTGAAGCTCTCCACTGCTGGAGCTCTCTGTTAAACATTAACCAGGGACTCTGAGGGAGTGTTTTGGTTATTTCACTCAGATTAGATCATTTTTATTAGCATCAGAAGCCTCCTGTACTTCCCACATGAGTGATTGCTTCCATGTGCCGTGCCAAACGGAGCCAATTTGGAAGTGCAACAGGACATGACTGTAATTGGCGCTCACTACAGGACCACTTTCAATGCTCTGTCAATCAATTATTGTAATGGATTAGCTGAGGTCCTATTCTGGCTGCCTGTAATCTGATATAGGGCTCTTTCAGCACCATGGAGAGAGGCGGCAAGGGATCCAGATTTAATCAGTCTGGCTGTGGACGCAGCACTGCCTCGGCTTCAGCCTTTGTCCCCAAAAACTGGGAGCAAAAAGGAACAATGACCCAACAGAACAAAAGCAACAGAGTTTAATGAAGTGATTGGTTTTTAAATGTAGTTTTTGTGTAAAGGGAAATCACCTCCAACTGTTCTAACATTTTAAGGTTATTCTTTTTTTTCTATTTCAGTTGTTTTTTTCATATTCCTGTTTGTCAACTTGTTGCTTCCTAAACATTGATGGTCACACATTATTTATTCCCTGTTGTGGAAAAGTATAGTTGTTTTGTTTCACTTAATAATTTGTTGCACAAAAAGCATCTTGTTGACTGGCTGTTCGTTTTAAATAAAGGTTCCAAAAGCACAAAAACGGTGATTCTTCTAAAGAAAAACTATTATTTTCTGACGTATTGTAAAAGAAATCATGACATTTTTTGCACTTCGTGTGTTTAAAGAGTCAAAAAATGTCCATAAAATGACTCCACTTTTGCCTTAATATAAACAGTTTCTTATAGATGACAAATCATCACTTCATTGCCGTCAGTAAGTGGTTTCTCCTGGAGGTCTAAGGGAATTCAAGGCATTAAACCGCAGTCTTTCTGAACCTTTGAAACAACAATGGTAAAAGGTTTGTTCTGATCCTTTAGAGAAAAGTTCAGGCCTCAGCGGCAGGAAGATCAATGAGAAAATTGCCTGTTTGGCCATCAGAGCAACGCAGAGGTCACTGTCTAGACTTTCAAGTGTACTTTAGAAGGTTGCCCATGAGACCAGGTTGCTGTGAAAAGCTCTGTAAAGTGGTATGGCTCTGAGCTTAATTCTAATGGACCTCGCGGACATGACTGAGAATGGCCCTGATGTCATTTGTACTTTTGACAGTGATGCTGATCCCTGTTTGTAGACAAGGACAGATATTTTTATGCTTTATTGGCATTTATGAAAAGGCAAAACTCACTTTAAAAGTGGTCACTTAGCAAATTGTGCGCTGTAGGATTTGCCCCTTAAGAGCAGAAATTACATAAAAATTTAGTCTAGAAGCTTGCCGTGACTTTTAGATGCTGTTCGTATGTTGTAGATGTTATTTCTTTTTTGCTCTCCACTCTTCTTTGCTCATTTTTCACACACTGCACATCATGCCGATCACGTAAGGGACTGGACTGCAAAGGAAGTGAAAACCAGCTAAAATCCTAAGTAAAATCTCCAGAAAGCCCAAAGAACCACAAATCAAAAACACGGCAATAAATTTTAGTCTCATTGGAAGTAAAATTAGAAAGAAATAAAGATTGGCTCAGGACTTTTGCACAGTCAGAACAAAGCCTTCAAAGGGACAACACCCAATTTTATTTTCTTGCAAAGAGCCTCTTGTTAAAAAAAGAGAAAGGGGCCTTCCTGTAGATCAGGCCTATCAGTCGCTTGAGTCCCAGGGGCATGTTTAGCCCTAATTTACTCATCAGAAACACCAGAGTGTCTCTCAATAATCTCTGCAGTCCATTGGTTGTTTGGGGTGGAGTCCCCTGTCAGAAAGCATGCCCTGGAATGTTAAACATTAATTCACCTCTGAGCTGTGGAGGTGGATAAAGTGATTGTTCTATCTGGGAGCTGATTAAAACAGCCTCTGGCCCGTTTCTCCCGCTGCGTTCACCTCTGACGTCCATCACATTCATTTCTGTATTCATGAGTGGATGAGAAAGCGCAGGCAGAGCGGCTGCCGTATTACAGATAATAAGGCCAGCGGGCATCACATTCACTGCCACAGGTTCCACCACCACCTGCCCCCCACCCCCACCCCTTCACTCACTCACACACACACAAATACAGCTTCAGCTCATTCAATTACTTCACAAGAGTTCTCTGAGGCACAGCTGCACTATGGGGGTAAAGAGGAGCAAATTGAGGTACATTCATGTAGACACACACACACGCACACACGCACACACCTCACAAAGACATAGAAGAGGCATGCACATTGGATCAAGAGCAGCCAGCACATAAAGGAACTCGCTGACAGGCATTTGTTTAGCAGTCCATCCACTTCTCACAAGTAAACAACAAAAAAAGGTCCATGTTCTGTCGCTCGCTGGCTGCTGTGAGAAATTAAATCAAGGCCATTGCTCATGGGCTCCATATATGAGGTCGCCATTATCTTGATGAACGTGTGGACAGCAGAGGAACGTGAAAGATGGACACTGGTACAACTAATGGGCCCTATCCTTTATCTACTGATGACTATCTGCTCATCTAAAGATGTATTGGACCCATGTGGACTGCTCTGTTTTAAATGCACAGCTTTGTTTCTAGAATTATTCATAAAAGTATTAAAACTGAAGCTCTGTGCCGACAGCTGTTGTTAGGAAGACTGGCTGCTGTCCATGGTGCTGAAACTCATGTCAACAGAAACACTGGTTGGAGAAGCTGAAGGCTTCATTTGAAGCATCTAAACAGATCAGAGCCCAAGTTTAGGGCAAGACGTTTATTACTGTCATTTCTAATCCCAGATTAATCAAGAAATACCCTTAAATTATGCCGA